ATATATATATATATATATATTATATAGATGTAATTTTATAATTTTTATGTATTTATTAATTACAATTAAACGATAACTTTATTTTTGAATGTTTTATCATATGTTTCTTTTTACATTTTCGCTTTTTTGTTCATTATATTGTTATGACCTGTTTAAAATGAACTGAGAAGCTTATAATCGATGGGTTCTTTTTGTGCCAACTTACCCCATATAGTGTGACGACATGCCTTGATGCATTTCTAAGCAATCAGATTTATGATTTTTGCCTGGCGGATGATGATATGGATAAAAAAATAAAAAATAAAAAACATTTGGATTTACATTGCAAGAGGCACTTGATCCATATTTAGAGGATTGGGGGTGGGACTTGAGCCATATTTAACTTGGTCTAGTAAAAACCACCTGGCAAATAGATAAATCAATAAAAAACCACTTTACCAACCATATAGCAACGCCCACCCGCAAGTCACTTTTGCAGGAAGTATCACAAACAATCTAGTTTTATTTCTGTTTATGTGCACGGTGAGCATGTAACTGAGATATTTGCTCTGACTTCACTGTGAGTAAAGGGCAGCTTTCAGGAAGCGCTTCATCAGATTGCACTTAGCGATTCCATTTCCTATTGAAGGAGTTCCTCTGACACGGGCTCTCGGGAGCCGGCTGGCAGCATTACAGCGCTTTGAAGTCGTTAGTGACAGAGATGATGTCTTAAATCAGCCTGTGTGACTCAATATGCTCTCTGGACTTTAGGCTCCGTCTAAACATTTCAGTTTTGTGGAGGAAGTCCACATGTGGACGAGCAGAAAGAGAAAAGCTGCTTGTGTTTAGGCTCACATTGCGTTTTGCAAATGATGTTGGAATCTGAGCATGTGCGTCACCACACAATACCATGGTTCGTTATTATGGTCACTTGGAAACGGTGTGGCAGCAGTTTGTGAAAACAAATATGTCTGATTTCTTTGATGCCTGCAGGAATGAGCAGTAGCCCCTCCAGGGGGCGGGGTCGGATCCACATCTAGGGGGTGGAGATGGTAGGTTTAGGGGTGGAGATGGGTGGGTTTAGGGATCAGGGGGTGGAGACGGGTAGGTTTAGGTATATGTAAGGTGGGAGGAATTGGATCTGGATCCAATCTCGCCCCCTGGATCTTGTGTTCTGCAGTGAGGACCATCTCGGAATGAGCGGCCCAGTATAGAATCATCGGCTGCAGTTAGCATCTGAACTAATGACCTGACGCGCTGCGATAAGACACGGTGCATGAAATCAGCGCTCTAATTCTGCACCGCCATCTGAGAAACAACAACAAGCTCGCACTCGTACCATCGGTCCTCGCCATCCTCATGACAACAAAACAGGCCGTTTGTTTAGTTAACTGAAATGTGTTTAGTTTATTTTTAACAAAAAGCACGTCGGTTCTAAATGTCAACCAACATCGCTCTTTATTGAGTTTACTAAAATATGCACTTACGAAAAAGTTCATACTAAGGTATTTGTTGAAGTACTTGGAGAACTATGTAAATACATCGAATATGAATCATTCAGTACCATATAATGTATCAAAGTCCTATAATTTTAGAAAATGCAGCATGGTAGTACCGTGGTTTGTGAATATGATATCATTTTGTGCTATGGCATATATTTTCTGTGGTATTACCATAGTTTTGGACATGAAGGTACCATGGTATTCTTTGAAGTATGATATAAGTATGTGTGTGGTACCATGGCATGACCAACGCACATGGTAATACCATGCTATATGAAAATGGTATCACCATGTGTTTGGGCTTGTACTGTACCATGGTATTCTTTGCAGTTCTTTTGAGTACAATTTGCTGTAAACACCATAGTATGAGTATGATACACTCCTGTTCTTTTTTTTTTTTTTTAAAGAAATTAATACTTTTATTTATCAAGGATGCATTGAATTGATCAAAAGTGACAGTAAAGACATTTATGATAATTATAATATTACAAAAGATTTCTGTTTCAAATAAATGCTGTTCTTTTAATAAAAAAAAATAATAATAATAATAATTCTTGAGCAGTAAATCAGCATATTAGAATGATTTCTGAAGATCATGTGACACTGAAGACTGGAGTAATGATGCTGAAAATGCAGCTTTGATCACAGAAATAAATTACATTTGAATATATATTCAACTAGAAAATAGTTATTTTAAATGGTAATAATATTTCACAATATCACAGTTTTTGCTGTATTTTTGAACAAAGTAATGCAAGTCTGTTTGTTTTTTTTAAAGGAGCTGCCGCATATGAGCGGGGACATCGGGTATGTGCAAAATGTTAAGCTCTTCACCTGTTAGTACTCAAGGCTGTATAGCATCAGTCTTCACTCCTTCAGGAAGGGTGTGTGTCTCTAAAAATGACACAGTCGTGGGATTTAATTAACATTATATCATTACAGCCAAAGCAGGCTCTGTGGTGAGCTCATCTCTCTGCTGCAGCCCACACCTATTGTCAAAAAAAAACCTGGCAGCGAGCAAAAAGCATTACTGCAGACACTGAGAGATCTGGGGTCACTCGTGGCTTTGTGCTTTTTCTGCAAAACTCTTCCAAAGCAGAAATCTTGGATATCTTTTTTTCTGATGGATTAGTTGGGACATAGTACTAATTACTAATTTGATGTTTAGTTTATTCTTTAATCCAAAGTGATTTGACTACACATAAAGAAATATTTCACCCAAAAATAAAAATTTGCTGAAAATGTCCTCACCTTCAGGCCATCCATGATGTAGATGAGTTTGTGTCTTCATCAGATTTGGAGAAATGTAGCATCGCATCACTTGCTCAGCAATGGATCCTCTGCAGTGAATGGGTGCCGTCAGAATGAGAGTCCAAACAGCTGATTAAAATATTGCAAAAATCCACAAGTAATCCACACCACTCCAGTCCATCAGTTAATGTCTTGTGAAGTGAAAAGCTGAGTGTTTGTAAGAAACAAATCCATCATTAAGAACTTCAAACAAGTCCTCTATGCATAGTATTGCTTCCTCCAGTGAAAAAGTCATGACTGAATCAGGAGTGAAATAATCACAGTTCAAGCACTGTTTACAAGTGAAAACAGTCCAAAATGATTCCAAAAAGGACTTTTTCACTGGAGGAAGCTTTATCATGGATTGTGCATTGGTATTTTGGCCAGAAGCAACTGTTTGTGATGTTTTTATCAGCTGTTTGGACTCTCATTCTGACGGCACCAATTCACTGCAGAGGATCCATTGGTGAGCAAGTGATGCAATGCTACATTTCTCCAAATCTGTTCCCATAAAGAAACAAACGTATCCTATACCTTGGATGGCATGAGGGTGAGTAAATGTTCAATTTTGGGTGTACTATTCCTTTAAATCTCCGGAATGCTATTCCTGAATACTGTTCCTGGTCTTTTTGTGGACCGTTCTATTTTTCCAGCATAAAAAACTGCTATAGTATCATTATAAATACTGTTAGTGTGATACGAGAGTTTAATAACTTAAACTTATTTACTCCGTTCTGTTTTACTGTATGAGCTCCAAATGTGTTCCCATAAAGAAACAAACGTATCTTATACCTTGGATGGCATGAGGGTGAGTAAATGTTCAATTTTGGGTGTACTATTCCTTTAAATCTCCGGAATGCTATTCCTGAATACTGTTCCTGGTCTTTTTGTGGACCGTTCTATTTTTCCAGCATAAAAAACTGCTATAGTATCATTATAAATACTGTTAGTGTGATACGAGAGTTTAATAACTTAAACTTATTTACTCCGTTCTGTTTTACTGTATGAGGGAAATGACATTATCTTGCTCCCATCAGAAAGGCATCCGTTCATCTGGTCATTCGTCCACTGTGACCGGCGATTGGAGCAGATCCATACGGCTATATGAAAACATGCTTATCAGTAACATTTGCTCATCAATCACAGGCGTGCAGGACAAAGGAGATCACTGTGATATAAATGACTCCCAAAGCGTGTATGAAGCTAACGCTGAAGTCATTACACATCGAGTGTTTCTCATTCTGGGTCAGCAGATGTCTTTCTGAAGGAGGTGATTTTGAAGGAGCCATTTGTGCATTGGAAAGAATGTTCCAGATAGCAGAGCTATTCCTGAGAAAAGGCACGTCATTTTGCATCATTGCCGCAGTCTTTGCTGACCTTGGGTCATTCTCAGTGCCGTTTGTTTCTGAAAAGTTCAGGATTTTTTGCTTTTATTATTATGTTGACTTGACTTGTGGTATTGCACAAATGTAGGTTAGTGTATATTTCCAAATCCCCATCCTGAGACCAACATTTCTTACTCTAAACCCCTCGTGGAGAGTTCAAGATATTTTCACTAAACTTCCATCCATCCATTGTTTTATCGTTCCTTCCATCCATCCATCTATTGTTCTACCATTCTGTTGTTCCATCCATCCATCCATCCATCCAATGTTTTATTGTTCCTTCCATCC